GTCCAGTTGAATGTGTTAATCTGTACATCAGTTGCCGAGGAGGGTCTCGACGTGCAGTCGTGCAATTGCGTCGTGAGGTTTGATATTTGTCGGACCCTTAGGAGCTTTATTCAGTCGCGTGGCCGGGCACGGAAACGAGACGCAACCTATATGTTTCTTCTTGAAAGGTTTGATGTTCTTTTTTTAATATGCAAAGTTCTCACCGTACATTATCAGGGGTAACCTGGAGCAGGAGAGCCTGCTGATGGAACTGGTAAACAGTGAGGAGCTTATGAGGGCCGAAGCATTATCCCGAATGAGCAAAACTATTGAAATAACGCCATTGATCGACGCGGACTTGGACTTCTTTTACACGACCTCTGGAGCATGCATTAGCACCGATGGTGCAGTATCTTTTATCTACAGATACTGCAGCCAACTCCCAGGGGACAGGTCTGAGAGTATTGATATCTAAACGTTATGGATTGACAAACTTTTATTGCAGATACTACAATCCCAAACCAGAAATCGAAGTCACTAAATGTGAATCTGATAACGAGGAGTTGTTCTCGTGTACAATAACGTTTCCTCCGAATGCCCCTCTTCATGTACTCACAGGGCCTCCAAAGCGAAACAAGCAGCTTGCGAAGAAGGTAGCATGTCTTGAGGCATGCCGGCAGCTGGACGCTTTGGGGGCACTAGGCGAACGCCATCCACCTGAGGTCCGCGAAGAAAAGATGGCTTCGGAGGGTCCGGGACTAGGTACTCTGGTTCTTATGTGTTTCTTTACTTTACTTACCTGGTTCTTGTGAAGGCAGGCTCTACGAAGCTCAAGGAGCTATTTCCGTCTATCAAGTCCACTACTTACCAGAGACAATGGATAACGACCTCGACGGATATAATTTTGCATATCTATGCTCTCATATTCCATCCGGAGGAGAATGGCTCAACGTATACAAATTTTGGTCTTTTATTTGATGCCGCCCTTGATGACGACGTCGGGAATATTGAAGTTAATCTCTATCTCACCAAGAACAGAGCTGTGAAAGCGAAACTTTCCTCTGCTGGGCAACGTCGGGTAGACTCTGTCCAGGTATGGGATCGTGCCTTGCTTTGTTTGTTTACTATTGATGTTATATTGTTGCTGTCACCAGCTTGCTGCAGCGAAAGCTTATCAAGAGATCATGTTCAACGGAGCGTTCAGCAGGTTGGTGTTTCGGGAGGATAAGAACGACAGGACACTGGCAACGTGCTTGCTTTCCTCCACTGAGAAAGCGAATGAATTGTGGTCGGAGACGTACTTGTTGCTACCTATTCTTGATGGGAGCTGTGATATCGACTGGAACATCGTAACACGCTGTGCAGACGCTGCCAAGTTGCTACCAAGTCTGTGCTCCGAGCTGAACAAGACCGAGGTCTGTATGGAGAGACCCGATGCCGGTCTTATTTACACAGCTAGTGGCCCTGTGAGTCCCGGCGCGCTACAAGACGCTGTCGTGCTTACAGTACACACAGGAAAGCTCTTCTCCATTGTCGAAGTTTTGGAGGATTTAGGAGCTCAGTCGACGTTTAAAGAAAACGAAGAGTCCGAGCCGTGCACTTACGAGGAGTTCTATCTTAGAAAGTACGTACTTCAATGTATCCTGGCTTGCTTACATTCTATTTCTCAGGCATGGGCGATTGTTGCGATATCAAACGCAACCTTTTCTACGAGCCAAACCAACGCATGCCGTTCACAACCATCTGCACGAGCCAGATCGAAACAACAAACAAAGTACTAGATTTCGGTCGTTTTGGAAAGCTAACCTGAATGGAACACCCTGTCTCTTTTATAGAACCAGCTGCCATCGTAAAAAACTTTGTGGAGATTCCACCAGAGCTTTGTCTCGTTCTTGGCGCAAGGAGTTCAATGATTCGATCTTTATATCTGGTGCCTTCGTTTATGTATCGCTTTACCGCGTACATCATCTCCTCCGAACTTCGGACAAAGTTCACAAAGCATTTTCCATGTGCTCACGCTTCCAAGGTATGTATGTTTTTCGTTCTTTGCCACATGTACAACGCTTTTTCCCAGATCCTCGAGGCACGCACAAGCTTGCGTTGTCAAGACGGTTTCTCATACGAAGGTCTCGAGCTGCTCGGAGACTCGGTTCTCAAGTACGCTGTAACCAGGAAATTATATCTTCTTCATTCGACCATGCACGAAGGTGAACTGTCCGATCGAAGGTCTCATGCCATATGCAATTCAACACTTCGCAAGCTCGCCGTAGCACAAGATTTACCGGTAAGCATATATGCGTCTGATATAAGACTCTTATCACTGTTCCCAGATGTATGTTCGGGACGAGCCTTTCTACCCGTCCTACTGGGTCGGAGCGGGTATGTACCGCCAGAGAAGCAGAAAATGCTGCTGTCGACTGGACAACCTTGTGACAAAAGAATCAAGCAAGCCAAGACCGACAGATGCTACGTACTACGTCGGGAAAACTTGCGGACAAGGCCATCGATGGATGTGCTCCAAAACCACGTCGGATGCTTTAGAAGCTTTGATCGGGGCGTATACTGTTGGAGGGGGCTTCGATGGTGCTTTGGAGTTCATGAAAGCACTGCAAGTAGATGTGGATTTCGACAGTGGTTTAATCGCAGCGAGCCAGCATCGCCCTGTTCCTTTGGATGCAGTTCAGTTTCATATGCCTGCCTTGCTTTCGTTAGAGAAAGAACTCTGTTACACGTTCCAGAACAAGGCGCTTCTGCTGGAGGCGATCACGCATGCTTCTACACCGGATACGGTTTTCTGCTACCAGGTAAGACGGCTGGTTTGTTTACTAATGTCAGATTTATCTCCGTTTTTATTTTCAGAGGTTGGAGTTCATCGGGGATGCTGTCCTTGATTTTCTTGTGACTCGACACCTATTTACGTCACACCCCGGTTTAAGCCCGGGATTGCTCTCGGACCTCCGCTCAGCATCTGTCAATAACGACTGTTTAGCTCGCGTTGCAGTGAAGCATCGACTGCACTCGTACCTTCGACACGGCTCCGCAGAACTACGAGCAAAGATAAATTCATTTCTGGATGTTTTAGACAGAGATCCGGAATGCAGTGTTATGTTTGGGTTCAAAGCTCTTTCGGGGCCAAAGGTAAAGTATCTTTAGTTGTTTTACGGTATGTTTTGTGACGCTCTCGACTGTGCAGGCCCTGGCAGATATTGTGGAAAGTGTAGCGGGGGCAATACTTGTGGATTCCGGCTTTGATTTCGAGAAGCTGTGGGTTGTATTGAAGCGGCTTTTGTCACCGTTTGTGACACCGGCGACGCTCTCATTCCATCCGGTTAGAGAGTTTCACGAATTGTGCAGTTATAAGAGCTGGGAATTCGAATGGGTCCAATCAAGCTCTGGTGCCACAGCAGAGATACTTTTAAAAGCTGGTGAGCAAAGGTTCACCGAAGTTTCAAGCATTAAGAACAAGAAAGATGCACGGAAAGACGTAGCAGAAAAACTGCTGACGATGCTTAAGGTAAATCCTCTGTTTCAGTTCCTTGTGGATCTGACTCGCTGAAAGCGCAGGACCTTGGCCATCGGCATCCTCGTTGGGACTCTTTAACTCAAGAAGAAGATGGTGTTCCTTCACACGAAAATGCATTGGAATTGAAGGGGATGCAAGGTTGCTATAGCTTGAGACTTCCGTGAAAAAATCCATCCACATGATTTACTTCATTCTCAAATCTTTTCATTCTCAAATCTTTGTTTTCCTCTATCCAGATGAACAAATGCGACCTAGAAGTGGAGCAAACGAGGAGCAGACTATATGCAACATGGAAATTACCAATTTCTCTGGACAAGGTATCATATTGTTGATGTTCTCATTCTTTTATTTGGTTCTTCATTATCCAGAGGTTTCAGAACAGCTGCCACTTCAAATTGATGTAACTGAGGAGCAGATGACATGCAACTTGACAATTACTGATTGCTCCGGACAGGGTAACGTAGTATCTAATTGCATTCTCACTCTTTTTAGTTTATTCTTTACTATCTAGATGCTTCAGAAAAGATTGATATAACTGAGGAGAAGAATACACGGAACGTGGAAACTACTGATTACTCTGGACAAGGTTGCCATCACTTTTTCTTTCTGCGGTTTAACAGGTGAACTGCCTTACAGTTGAACACAATCAAGCTCATACTTCGTCCAAAAGTTTTGTACCAATTCGCAACCTGGACGTTGATTTAGAGTCACTGACTGCGGTAACAACAGGTAAAAGCTCCCCATGCCACTCTACTGTCTTAAACGCCTGTGTGCAAACAGAGATGACGAACTGTGCGATAGCTCTCCTGCAAGACTTTTGCAGCCAGAGAAAGCTGGGATCACCGAAATTCGAGGCAAAGGAAAGGCGTGGAGTGGCTCAAGGACGATGGTGAGCTCGGGAAAATGTCGTGTTTGTCCGACTGACATGGTTGCTACTGCGCTGTCTGCCAGGTTCTCATTCACTGTGTCAGTGGAAATCCCTGGCGAAGGTTTCTTGGAACAAGTGAGCTGCTTCATGGCCAACAAAGAGAGAGCAATGCGCGATGCTGCCAAGAAGATGCTACAGCGGCTAAGCAGCTTTGCGTCAAGCAGCTGAGAAACGTTTGCAAACTCAGGCAAAAGTGTTCGCTTTTCTCCAGCACACTCCTCTCAAGCCGCAGTTTCTTCATGCTTGTGCTGTCCAAACCTTGGCACAGAGGGAACTATGTGTGTCTAACTAAGAAGCTTATTAAATCCTCAAATCTCTTCTTGGAACTCCTATTGACTTGGTGTTTCCACATTCCTGGAGGAGTTTGCTGTGCAACTAGAGAATATACATTGGTAATATGGGTCAATTCAAACTTGACTCGGTATAAGAGGGTAGTAAAATATTATATATCCTAAGATTTTGTTATGTAGGGAGTGATTAGATAAAGAGATCTATAGTCTTTTCCAGAATTAGATGTCTAAAATTATTGGGAAGTAGTATCCTGTTGCATGGCAGGAGAGAATTTGACTCATAGAGGGCAAAAAATGACTTTTGGAGGAAATTCAAGTAGTACATTTAAACAAACATCAATGAAGAAGAATAAGTTAAAGAGTTTTTAAAGTAGACTTAGTAAACTTTAGTTCCAAGAAGAGCTACCATATAATGATTTTGCCCTTTCCACAAAGCTAGAAAGCCTCACAAAGGAAAAGGTTGTGGATTTTAGTTAATATTTAGTAAAGGTCAAAGATAAAAGCAATTTCACAATTAACCATACCTTTGATTATTTGGAGGAGTTTCACTTGCAACTTTCATAAGTTTTATTTAGGATTTGAGGACATATTAGTCTTGTGAATAACATCTATTCCATTTAGCCTTTGCACTTGGTTTAAGTGCTCCTCATGTCCAATCTCATAACCGACACTCAAAGATACCATTAATATATTAGCCCATTACACTAGAGTCATGTTCATTCAATTTTGTCACATTGATGGTTTAAGACCACTTGCATGTAAGTGACTAAATTTTTCATTTTACTTTAGTCATTTAATTACACTTTTGACCATTTGGAAGAGTTTCACTTATAACCTCTATAGGTATGACTTCGAACTTGGGGACTTGTTAGCTTTGTGAATAGCATCTATGCAACTCAGCCTTTGCACTTGGTCCAAGTGCTCCACGTGTCCGATCTTATGACCAACACCCAAAGGTACCATTGATATATCAACTTATTACGCTAAAGCTATGCTCATTCACCTTTGTCATCTTGGTGGCCCAAGACCACTTACATCACAAACCCATCTCTCAAATACTAAGCCATTTATCAATGAATGGTTCAAAAGTGAGTGTGATACCAATTTCGCTTGAAACTCATTGGCTATACTTACCGCACTGGGGTGAAGTTGGCAGCTTACACTTTGCCTGCAATTCCTACCAAGTCCCCATCCATAGCCGTGCTTGCCCACATTGCTACTGGGTCAAGGCATAAAAGCCTGATCACTAAGTCTTATTGACCTTTAGAACTTCTTTACCATGTGATTGTAAAGGATTACTCTTTTTCCTTTCCAGAGTCCAAGAATTTGGGATAATATTTCAAAACATTATGACCCTATGCAAGCCTCATGGGTACTCTCCCCACCTTCTGCCCTTAGGTGCCTTAGCCATGTGGCTAGAGCAAGGTTTTGATGAGCCACGCTAGGTAGCCAAGTAAGTAGTGCTACCCACACTTGGATTGGGAGCATCAACCATTTTGACGTTCCAGGGGAGTTAGAGCCAGCTCTTTGTGAGACATAAAATCCCTAGGCTCTAAAGTGGAGCCAAAAGGGTGCCATGTGGTAGTGGTTGAAGCGAAAGCCAAACGAGCATAACATGTTTGGACTAAAATCTCCGACTTGAAAAGTCGAGAGTGGGAGTGGAACTCCCAATGCAATGCTCAAGGAACAAGCACAAAACGAGCCATGAGTGAGTCTCTAGAAAAGGGGACACAAGAGGACTAAACATGACACGTGGAAGTGTCCAAGAAGGAGTCCAAGATGGAGTTTGAGACAGACCCAAGATGGACCCGAGATGGACCCAAGATGGAGTCCAAGATGGACCCAAGATGGAGTTCGAGATGGAGTCCGAGATGAACCCAAGATGGATCCAAGATGGAGACCGAGATGGACTCGAGATGGATCCAAGATGGAGTCTAGGATGGATTCGACATGGAACAGGGACCGAGACTGAGACTAAGTCCAAGTCCGAGACCAAGACCGAGACTGAGTCCGAGTCCGAATACTAATACAGGCAGTTGGGTGAAAGCCCAAAGCAATCGTCCCCTAGAAGGGGGGGGGGGGGCTGCAGAGGGTTCCAAAAGTATAGTAGGGAGAGTGTGGGGGTTGGAGCCCAGTGGAGCCAGTTTGGCCAGGAAAGGCTAGTTTGGCCCAGGAAGGCTATACCCAGGTGTTGGGTGATGAGCTGACCATTGGGAAGTCCAAGACTAAAGTGAATACGGACCAACAAGCAGGGTAGCTTGGTGAAGTGTTCAAGAGCCGGCTTTAGTTCCCCTGGGAGATCAAATAGTTGATGCTCCTAGTCCAAGTGTGGGTAGCACTACCTACTTGGATACCTGACATGGCTCAACAGAACCTCGCTCTAAGTTCATGGCTAGAGCACCCAAAGGTGGAAGGTGGAGAGAGTACCCATGAGGCTCGCGTAGGGCCATGGTGTTCCGAAATGTTGTCCCAAAGGCCCAAACTATAGAAAGGAAGAGGAGCAATCCTTTGGTGTAGTGACCAAGGATACAATCGTGTGGTGAGGAAGTTCTAGAGGACCATAAGGCTTAGTGGTCAGGCCTATGGGCCTTGTCCCAGTGGCAGTGTTGGCGAATGCAACTATAGACAGAAAAGGGACTTGGTGGGGACTGTAAAAGGGATATTGGGGAAGGCATTCCCCATGTTTGCGAGCATCCTAAGGAGGCTAAGGAGTGGATTTAAAATGATCACTCAGGGAAGAATGGCCCAGTCTTTGAGAGACAGGACTATGATGTAGGTGGTGTCAGACCACTGGTATGACCAAGGTGAATGGGCATGGCCTTAGCGTAATGGGCTGATATGTTGGTAGTACTTTGGGGTGTTGGTCCTGGGATTGAACATATGGAGCATTTGGACCAAGTGCAATGGTTAAGTGGCATGGATGCCATTCTTGGGGTTAACAAGTCCCTAAGTCCAAAATAGAACTTACAAAGGTTGTGAGTAAGACTCCTCCAAATAGTCGGAGGTGTGGTTAAGTGACTAAAGTAGAATGGAAAATTTAGTCACTTACACTCTTGAATATTTCATCAAATTACCCTATTTGTTTATTCGTATTCACTCTAACCTTGAACTCCTCAGTGGATATATCATCACCTAACATGTGGGTATAGCCTTCTTTGGTCACATTGTCCTTTCTTGGCTAAATTGGCTCCACTGGAGTCCTCCCCCTATTATACTTTTGGAGCTCACTAAACCCCCTAGGGTCTGGGAGACAATTGCTTTAGGCTTTCACCCTCAGACTTGGACTTAAACTCAGTCTTAGACTTAGTCTCAGACTTGGTCTCGGACTCGGTCTCAGACTTGGTCTTTGTCTCAGTCTCGGTCTCGATCACTTTCTTGGCCTCTTTCTCGGGCTCTTTCTCGGCCTCAACCTTGGACTCCATCTCAGGTCTATCTCAGACTCGACTTTAGACTCCATCTCGGGTCCATCTTAGACTCCACCGCAGGTTCATCTCAAACTCCATCTTGGGTCCATCTCAGGTCCATATCAGACTCTATCTTAGATTCCTTCTCGAACTCCTTTTTGGACTCGTTTTTAACACTTCTATGTGTCATAACACTTGCCATGTGTCAGTCCTTCTTCTATCCCTTTTTAGAGACTCATTCACTAATTGCTTCATGCTCATTCCTCTAGCATTTTGTTCGAAGTTTTGTTCCCACTTTCGACTTTCTGAGTTGGAGCTTTTGGTCCAAACATATTATGCTTGTTGGACTTCTACTTTGACCACTATCATATGGCACCCTTTTTGCTCCACTTTGGGGCTTAGGGATTTGTGTCTCACAACTCCACTACCTATAGACGAAGTTCAATATCTTCATCAAACAATAAACCATTTTATAAAATAACCCCATTATGGATTACCATTTTTCATCCTTGGCACCAAGCCAATATGTGTTAATGGTTTAATATCTAAAGGTCACCATGCCTTGCCTATCCTTTAAAGAGCATAGTCTCGATAACTTAGAGACTCATTAGACCACTTTTAGTGGTTCTCTCCCTTTATTTAGTTTAGTTCTTGTTGAACTTGTTAAAAACATCTTCTCTATTTCAATCCAACTACTCATTCTTGAGTAGTTTTAGGTTCTATCAATATAACTATCACACTTTAGAACTTTTAATTTTGACTTCTCAAAATCAATTTCTTAAGTGTCTTTAACACCTTGTATTGCATATGTTATGTAAACTCCACTTCCCCATCCTTGAAAGTTCTTTACTTGAAGGCACCATTATCTTCTTTTCTATTTCATGCCACTCTAAGCACTAAATTCCATTTATCCATAATTTGTGCTAGGGCTGTCCACGGCTTTATTATTTGACTTTCTTGCCACTCCTTCCTTTGGAGATTTCACCTTTGCTAAATTAGAGCAAAAATCCATCCTTGGAAATATATATTTTTTCTCACAATCTATTAGCATCCAATACATGAGTGTTGCTTACCTAATTTTGTCATTTAAATTCTTTTCAATAATTTCCATGGCCCAATTTTGGCCATTAGTCTTTTGCTCTTTTTCCTTTGATTGTTGCACCAAGCAATATAAGATCACTACCTCCATTTTCGAGGTATTCTTTCAGTTCCATAGCAAAGGCTTTGCTTTATTAAGTCCAAAGGGTGTTCACCCTTAGTAAATCTTTTTATCATTTTCTATTATATGCTCTATCCATGGTCTAACTTTATAACCCTCCCATGGGTCTTTCCACTTTCTTGGACTCAATATACCATCACATTGACACATCTTTGCTTTTCCATGTTTAGAGGGTGTTCACCGTTAATAAATTTTTTTAGCATTTTTAGTTATGGGCTCTATCCATAGCCCAACTTTATGACTTTCTCATGAGTCTTTCCTAGAGACTACTTTCTTGGACTCACTATACCATCGCATTGACACAACTCATTTCCCTTAGGTGTCCTTCCCACTTGGTCATTTTGATTAAGTCATACCATTATTAATAGTTCAAATTAACACTTTGAATTAGGAACATTATTTCTTAACTAAACAAAG